GAGTATTGCGGCAGGAGTTTGGTTTTCATATTCAAAACAGAGGCACTGTAAAAATGTTCTCCGATTACGTACATCAAACCAGTTTGAGCTACGACTTTATGGTGTAACGCACACTATATCAAGGAGTTTTAAAACACAACTCAATACGCATGTTTATTGAATTGCTTAAATGGCTGAGTCCACGAGAAGGCAGGAAGAAGCGAATCCTGTTTCCTGTTTTCTGGGATTTCCCGCTTTTGTTCCGCAAAGGTAAGTTCTCTTCTTCTGCTTCTTGGCCATATAATCGATCCTTTAAATTCGAAACGTGTTCGGTTAATAATGTCGGATATTGGTCTTGTTCCTTTTTTTCCATTTTTATTGACCTCGACTTCGTTTTGTTCCATAAAAACGCAGAAAAGGACCTGGCCAATATCCAGCCTTCTTGACCGAACAATCAAGAGAGAGAGAGAGAGAGAGAGAGAGAGAGAGAGAGAGAGATAGATATCTTATTGGTATAGACATCGCAGCCAGAGGCTAAATTGAATAAATTACGTAACTATGTACATGTAAAAGATAAAAACTACTAAATTATAGAAAACACTCCCGCCTTGCGGACACCCCGCCATGACGAACAGCCCAATAATACGGACAGCAGCTAGATCCCCTACAAAAATATATCAGAGATGTTTCAATGAAAAACAAAAAACTCTTGTTATTACGGACTCTCGCTAATGAGGACATTGACTCAAGGTCCCTATGCGTACGGTGTTCGCTATAAAGGGAGTTGACTTGTATAATGCGTATCTACATATACATAAAATATACAAATTACGAAGAAAGTTTCATTAAAAACTAAAACTGATGGCTATTCTTATGGGTTTACGCGACGGCGATGGAAACTAAGACAATTCCTGGCCCTTTAAGTTTAAACTTGATGTCAAAGTCCTGGAGACGGTGATCTCTGCCCTCTAAGATATTTTCGAAAAGGGGCTGACATAGGCTCTGACGGTGAACCACAAGTAACTCTAGGTCTAACGAAGCTAGAGCGCTGTCGTCGGATAAGGTGGGGCATATGATGGAGAGAGCCCTCTTTTGGACACACTTCAAATAGTCGATTAGGTACTGAAGTAACGAAGCGTGAAACACAGGAATCGCGTAATCACAAACAGACCTTATGTAGTAAAACATCATACTCGTACCCAGTTGCCATTGATGTGTTTTTGGGGTGAGAGAAGATTGGGGGTTAGGTTGAGGCTCGCGGGGTCTTATGGGAAGGTAGATATCTAAACTTGTCATGGGGGTTTGGCGGGGGGAAAGACTTGTGAGAAGGATGATTTGTGTAGAAGAAACAAGAGAAACAGTAGAAACTTAGAAACAGAAATTGACGGTAGCTTTGAAAT